AGGGGCCCAGTTTTCTCATGAAAGGAGAATGGGTCCGGGGGACCAACACGCCAACTCTGCAGTCACATGGGGACGATGCTCATCATTAATGGCTACAAATGATTTGATTGAGAGTTGTTGGCAATGTATCTTCCCCTTTTTTTTGCAAACTTCTCTACTGCAAGTCGTCTTTGAGGAGCAATGAGATAGGGGAAGTCGGGCTTGCATTGTGGGCCCAAGCTTTTCAATTGTTATCAAAACATGAGCGGAAGGAATTTGAACGCCGAAACCAACGTCTTCACTGACCGACGTAGCCAAAAAATACATGCCAGCTGAGCACAAAGGATCGTCAAGGGCACCGCCAGCGACCAAGAGTAGATAGTTACGGGTGCCAACACTGCCAACAGCCTGGCAAATTTGGTGCATGAGCTGGGGAATGATAATGGCTCATTCTTGGTGGTAGAGAAAATTTCCAGGATTCACAATACATATCTTCTTATACTTATCCACATCAATGGACAGTTCACTATGTTGCACGTTCAATGCTAGTGGACATGTCCAATTCATTTGAACGCACGTTGACATTCATGAAACCTGTGAGTCAGTGCGACTGTGGAGATTGAATCCCACTGTAAATCAAGGGAGGCTACTAAGCAGCATGAGAACCTGAATTGCTACCGTAAGGACCGAACAACATATCAAGCGAACCATGAACGTAGTAGTAGTTGAAATACATGGGTCTAGATTCTACATCTCGGTTTGTTCGCTGTGACACCTGTGAAAAAACATGTTTTCAGAAACGACATGCCACGGCCAAGGGGCGCAAAACCACTGGCCACGCGAACCTTGAGAGCGCTGGAGACCGGCACCAAGCGGTTTAAAGGAAGCCGAATGGTTGGATTCTACGGTTCCACTGCGATTCCGCCGTTTCGGTCGTTTAGGTTTGGAGAATGAGTGAGTGATTGGTTGAAAAAGCGTTGAACACGCTCAGCGTCAAGAATATACACCAGAAAGCTAAATCATGCTAAAACATGCTAAATCCATGCATGCGGCTACCTCTCTGCATGTCCATGTCACTGGGTTGCCAGCTGCTTCCCACAGCGGACAAGGCAGCTGAACTCCGTGCAGTTTGGCACCTGCTCCGCCGCAGGAGGCACGTGCAATCCAGTTTGCACAGTTTGGTGGAGATAGCTACCTGGATCTACTCGAAGAAAGCCGAAAGGGTTGATCAACTCAAGACTCAAGTGTCTATCCTGCCAAGGAATTGGCGATTGGTGCAATGCAATTGGAAAATCATTAACATATCGCATAGCAATATATATATATAATATACATATGCATACATCTTCATCAACATCATCAAAGGGCACATTGAATCGTGATTCATGATCAAAAAAATGCTCTTCTCATGTCGTCTTGACGTTTTCAACCCACCCCCGCCGCGCCCGACTGGCCATCTGTGAGCACCGGCCTTCCTCTGAGTAGACCGCAAAGGCGTAGCGCCTGAGTGCCACAGCTGCAGCCGCCGCCACGGCGAAGCCTCCGACCAAGGCATGTCTCTGTGTCCAACAGAACGTCTATTAATCTGTGTGTTTAAGTTGGCATTGAAATGTGTAGCTGTTAATTGAATCTAAAGTTTTTGTTGCTATTGGTTTGGAATGCGCTTTTGCATCGGAATACAGTAATTAGGTCATTATATGAGCACATTTATATATTTATATATAATATATATTTATATTTATATTTTTGCCCTGGAGTGGCACCCTGTTGTAGGACTTGACTAGACGATTGGAGAAGTGCTAGAACCCCTTGATGAGGCAAGGGACCTTTAACGGATCCAGTATTCTTTCATGTTGTGGTGGGACTTGGAACAGGAATGGTTCGTGGAGGACAAACACATATGTACAAAAACTGCTGCACATGATTGCATCTCTGGGTGACACACTACCCTCACTGTGGCGTGTGGTGTGGCACCACAGAGCACTCCGAAACAAAAATGCATCATGGGTCTCGTCAGCCAAAGAGTAAATCTGTGCACACGTGAGATCTCTGATAGCTATGCGTTATTAGGATTCAATACTGCCATGCTACGCACAGCTGATAACCTTACTTTTCAATAATACTTGTCATTACTTTCCATCTTTTGTAGGGCAGCCGTGATTGAAACAGGCCGAATACCTTGTAGCTTTTCAGCTCAAACACCGATCCAAACGCAATCAAACACCGATCTACACAGCCAATGATAAAGGATGATAAAAGCGAGAGCAGCTATACCTGCTGTACTTACTACATGCAAAATCTTTAGACCTGATGCTCCCCTGCAAACATGATAACGAGAACTTCAGGAACTGCACCAAGCCAGGCCTGCTGCAAGCCAGGTCTGTGCTATTTCTCGACGACCCAATGCCTGTTCGGAACTGTGGTTCGCTGCTCAATCACATGTCACATGAGCCACGGAGTAATCCACATGTCCAAATGTTGACCTCTTTGCGTTTGAAAGTTGGACCACTGTCCTTTGCGTGGCTCAACTGTCCGCTGTCGAGTGAACATCCCCCTTCGACCTTCCCAGGACCGAAGAACTTATGGACAATGTCAAACGATGTCAAACAATCATCTCTGAAGTGTCTGACTACATGGAAAAAAACACCATCACACTATCAAACCATAAACTTGATCAATGATCATTCTGTGATGTAAAAGGTAACCCATGATAATCTGTTCTTCTTCGGCGCCTGCGAACCAGGCCGGGCACAAACCAGGCGTTCTGGCCATCCCGGCCTGACAAGAACTCGACTCATCAAATATCGGCATTGATGCCAAAATACTCGGATAGCCTCAATACCAATCGGCTCATGTTTGCTCAGAAAGCATGTAGCAATGTAGAGGCTAGATCAATCTATGACTTCTTTAAATTGCCTCACCCTGATTGCGGGCTGCGCCTGCTTGCCACAAAGTCGTCCTTGAGGGCCAACAGAAGCATGGTGCTGCCAGAAGCCTCAAAGGCATGCCATGAGATGCAAAACAATGAACGGGCGACAAATCACGAGGTTCGAACAATGAATGTTCATGGAGACAAGCCAACAAATACAACTTGTGCAATTGTTGTACAAGTACAAGGTTGTACAGTTGTACATGTTAAAATTGTACAAATTTGCTCAAATTCGTACAATGTATGGTACTTGACATATTCTTGACATGATCTATCGCTGAGTGAAAAATGATCCTCCGCATATCTCCGCAGTCAGTCGCTCGGGTCGTTTGGTCCTTCGCTTTCAGCCTCACTTGACATGTGTTCGGTTGACTAAAGTCTTATTCCCGAAAACGGCGCGAATGCACAATTCCTTGCGTGCCGCTTCATGATTACCATATAACTAACACTAATGGTGAAACCTTGTTTTATGGTATGGTTTTGTTCGTTTCACAGCAAAATACACTAGCGCATAATTTTGTACCTAAGCTGACTAGAGCTGCTGTCGGCAGTGCTAGAGGAGCTGCTCTCTGTACTGCTGCTTTGCTGCATTTGCTTGAGCTGTTTGCTCTGCCGACTCGTGTGGGCTTTGTCGTTTGTCAAGTGCAGCTCATACTTTGCCTAGGAGCGCTGCGCGCATTTTGTTCTCACAGTATTGGGTCTGTCATTTGTGCCGTGCACTACCCGGCACACATTTCAGCAATTTCTGCTAGCGCGGAGCTAGCGCGAGCCTAGCGCGAAAAGTCTCGAACATTTACCTGGTTTAGCCCTGGCAAAGACAAGGTGTGAAAATGAGCAAAGCAAGCTCACTAGGAATAGTGCAACATGCCAACCATTTGAAGTTGTGTCCTTGCTCCTGCTAGCCCTATGAAACTGCACATCACAGATTAAACATGTGGTCCGAGCAAATGGCTTCTAGCAATCAAAAGCAGATTCAAAAAAACGCTAGCGCCCCACAAGCGCCACGCTAGCGCCTAGCTTGTGTTTTAGGGTATTCTCTTGCGTGCCGCTTCATAATTGCCTTTTAAAATCTACCATCACAAAATGTAGTGTTGCCATTTTGTATAAACTCCTTAGCACCGACTTTTGGCATCCAAACATGTGGATGTGTGATGATGTATGTCATGATGTGGATCGAATATGATCGAATCCTCTTCACATGCTCTAAACCCAGGTGAGCATCAAACATCATCCGGGAATCATCCGGCTTTGCTCCGGTATCCAGCAACCTTTGGTGACAAACGCGGTCCCGTGCAGCGTCCGTGACCAGGTCCCGTGCAGCGCTAATGGCAAAGACCGCTCCAAGACCCACCAGCAACGAGCGGATGTCCCGATAGGCATCGGCCGTCCTGGAGATCGCTCATCCGGGAGAAAGCGCACCAGTGGTGTGGGGATGAGAGATGATGAGAGCTTAGATGTTACGGTCAGCTGCTTAGCGGGAGAATTGGACTGGAAGGAAAGCGGTCCATCGTCCCCAGTAAAAACAAAGACTCCATCAAAACAAAGATGCTCAAACAGAAATCCTTGAAGCCTTCGATCATCGACCAGCGAGGTTTACGGATCGACCAAAATATGCTAAAAGTATGCTAAAGTTAAGTTGACAAGTTGATCAGCCAAGCTGAAACGACAAATCACCCGAAACGACCGACCTTCCGCTCTTCGTTCGGTTCATCTTCGTTTCGCCTTCGCTTCGTCGGTACGACTTACACCGCACGTCCGCTCCCCGACTCCCCGACCCTAAGAAGCTGATGAGAAGCAACTGCATCGCGAAGACCGGATACAGGTAGAACCTCATCGACCCCATTTTGGGATGGAGGAACCAACATCGCTTTTCGGGTTCACCGTTCGGGACATGGACATCAGCGTTCATCCCCGACTCCATGACTCTCCAGAGACTCCAGACTACGGATCTCCGTGGACTCAATTGAATCTTTTTGATCAATGACTAGGAGCCACAAAAATGGCCTGCACAGGCGCTCACAAGAAATACAAGAAATGTAGGAGACCCGTCTTCTAGAGTGGTTCATCTGGAACTGTTTTGCATTCATAAGACCTCCGTGGCCCAAATAAAATACATGAAGCCCGAGGACAGGGGCCAAATAACAAAATGCAAAGACACCATTGGCAAAAGCATGCCAATAAATTAGTGTTGCTGTTTCGTTTTGCTGCTCTTCAAGAACTGACACTTGATCCAGCAAATTGAGCGCTGACCCGTTCGAGATATGGCTGGATGGGCCAGTAAAGAAGTAGAAGTTGAAGGAGTGATGAAGCTGCTGCAAAGCATTGCTCATACACCTGAGAGCCAGGAACTGGCAATCCTAACAAAAATAGACAAACATCACTTCTCAAGCCTTGTCAGCTCGATCACACATTGTTGCGTTCGTGTGTGAACACAGTCTTTCCAAATGCGCACACAAGGGATCTGGGAAGGAATCTTGTCAGGCACTGGTGAGGATTGCTATACGTCCCCAGTACTCTTCAGCCACTTGAGCGTTCAATGACGTTCAATGTAAGCCAAGAGAGAAGATGCAATATTCCAATGATCCAGCGGAAAAACAAAATAGGAAAAGCCGTTGCAAAGCTGGTCACGTTCCGCTTCACCTTGGACCCTTCGCTCCGGCCTCACCAATCCCTCGATGGACACCGTGAGGCTGGCTAAACTGAGCCAGGTAAAGGGCAGTGCAGTGTGGGCAGTGGTGATGGGCACGCAAAAGAAAAATCAATGATATGTGATGTGCTTGTTTGAAAGAGTCATTGCCTGTATTTAAACACACCGTAAAACCATGTAGCAACCATGTTCTTGTTTTAGTACGCAGCCAATTGCACTCTCGCATCCAGAAGCTTGCACCAACATTGGGAAGGACACAAGGCCAACATGGGCGGCTAGTGGTGAGATTGCGAATGCCCCCAAAATGCCATCTGCAGACTCTTTGGGCATATCTTGAAGGTCGATATCATAGCGACTTGGGTTGTCACTTGATGGAATTCACGTTGGACGTTTCCTTCAAACAAGTAGTGGCAATAGACTGATACTTCTACCTGCTTGGTCTTGATATTTTATTATCTCATGTCCTCAGGTAGCACCACGATGTCTTGACGTTCTAAGTCCAAAAGGGTTCTGCATTCAAAGGTCACATCTTGAGGCACACCCATGTATTATGGTGTCCAAAAAAGGAGTGAGCTGTTGTGCCCTGGAGGTGCAGAAAAGGCACAGAGTTCTCCCAAGTTGAGACACACTTACATCAGTTTGGGTTGAAAACAAAAAACAAAACAGGTTAAAGTGTAGGTCGACATCTTGTGGGATGATTCATGGTCTGCATTGTTTGGATTTCATGGGAAGTCATGCGTTCGCTAAGTGTTTTCTGGACAAACAATTCATCAGTTCAACTGAATCCGTTCGCTAAGTCCACGGCTTCACGGCTCCTCGGTCGCCCTTCTTGTTCCTCAAGACACGTTGACCCCGGCAGTTTGGCCGGAAAAAGAGGGTGTCGGCCCGGAACATGGTGCAAGGTGCCACCAGTACTAAGTAAAAAGTTGCGAGTGTCACACACAATCTGGAAAGCCATTGAAATTCAGGGCCTCCAAGTAGGCAGAAACGAAACTTATATCATCACCTACTGTTCAACTGACCTATTTCGGGGTGAATAGAATCCAATGTTTCATAATACCCAAGAACATTGAGGCCCTTTCCTTCGAAAGCTACTATAGTACATGGCAGTTTTTGATCAGTCTCACAGAACTTGTCAGATTGTAGCACCAAATCAAAAGTCTTGGAGTTTGGAACTGCCATGTTTCATCATTCTTCTACATCCTGCGTTTGCCTGTTCTGGAGTGCACTGTCTACTAGTATGAGCCACACTTCTGCCGCAGTTCTGCAAGAAACTTCTTTGCGATGCACCCACAACTTTATTCTCGCTTGTTAGAGATATGAGTGCATCCAGTTCAAAAATGGAGAAATGCATCGAAGGCCCACAAGGCTAAGAAAAACATCCGAACACCAGATCTGCACTGCTCTGCACCAAGTGCCAGGCACGCCACGAATACTAAAGGCTGGAACCTGAATCCATGCAATTCCGCGATTCCTTAATGATACTCCACAGATTTGGCTCCAACCATTTCGTAGAATCCACTCCCCCTCACTCGCCACGGGTGCGCTGTTTGATCTGTGTCGCCTGAAGCTCAAGGAAAGGTGCATGACCTTAGCGATTGAGGTGCACAACACTCGCATCGATTGAGGTGGGGTCGACGTCTCTCTTGAAGATTGTGTTGACGTTGTTTTCTGTTCGAAGAACAGATTTGGGCTGAATCTTGAAGCATCCAACAGCCTTCCATTGCATGTTTGTTGATTCTCTCACAATTTAATGATCATCAATGATCTGTGCCTGCAGGCAAAGCCAATCAATCACATCTCCTAATCATGCCCTGGGCCATAGTAGAGTACTGAACAACATCTTAATCAAATTCAAACTAGGTCTCAGGCTGCTGTGCACCCCTCCATTCCTGGAACTTTAATGTCGTCAAAGAAGCTTGACCACAAGTTCGACAAACATCAATCAGTATGTGGCATGTCCACATCCTCATGACTCATTTGAGCCATTGTGCCATGGCAGTCGGTGTAGACCATTGGACACTCAGTACAGCTCGAACAAGCATCTGCAATGAAAATGTTGGAATGCGTTTCTATGAAATGCTGCTGTAAGTGTAGTTGAATATGTGACCTAACATTAATTAGCATCGATTGAAACACTTCTAATACTTGTAGTCCACTGCCGAGTTTGCAGCTCAGACTGAGGCTCTAATCTGTTTCTTCGTGGGCCGAGTCAATGCATTTCATCCCAGATCGTCTGATCGTCACCGACTCGGATCGCTCCTGGCGTGGTGAAGTACTGAATCCCAGGCGTCGCGATGATGAATCTGCAAGCTCGTCTGACCGGACACCCCGGTGGCCTCACGGGCTTCGGCTGGTAACTCGGAAAACTGCGAGTGCAAAGAGTCAGTTCATGTTCTTGCTTTTTGATGTGCCTCCTCTGAACCAAAGCCATGCAAATGTGTGTGTGTGTGTCCACTCCTGTTTCCAAGGACACTACTCTAGCTATTTCTATTCCTATGACTTTACGATCCTTGTACAGCACCAGCAGGGGGTGCCAGGGACCATGCAAGTCTGGCACTAACAAAGACGCTTGCATTGGTCTGTGAAATCGATTTGGGACGCCAACTCGACGTACCTGCAATTTTCCATTGTTTGAATCACTTCACTTTCCACGACTTGTTCCAACATTCTGTTCGACCGACCCAGCACTTTCTTTTCAGTCAAGGTCTAATTTGCAGTAACATTAAAGTGCTAATGCTCACCGCGAATAGCCTGAAGACAAGCTCCACGGAGCAACCTTCTCAAGTGTGTCTCCGCAGCTTCTTCCCACTGTGGTAAGCTGTGTGATCCCTGCGGGGCGCCGTTACTGCAAGAACCTTTCACTCCTCACCGCAGGAGTAAGTGTTCCTGAAGATTTTCTGAAGTTTACTCGACTGAATTTTCCTGTTTGAAATCAGCTTGATTGGAATGTCTCACCTGACACACGTGAAGTGTTACTGCAGAGTTCACTGAATTTTCCACTGAAATATACTGCAGAGTTCGACTGCATAAGTTTCACACCGGAGAAGTCTTTCCAACTTTTAATTTTTCACTGCGCCGATTTCGGCTTCTCGGCCAGCGCCTCCGGGCCCGTGCCATTCGCTCGTAAGAGCATTTTACCCCACCCTTCACCCCCTGCACCTTTTCTTGTTTTTCTTTGCTCTTGCTTTTTCGTTTGTTCCTTCCTTCAGGCTTTTTAGGTATTTTCCAGGCTCGTTTAGTCAACGCACGCCCTGCCCGCCCCCGCACCCCCTGCACCTTTCTCTTCTTTCCTTGCTTTTTTCGCTTGTCTTGTTCTTTTCTTCAGGCTGGTTAGGTGGCATCCAGGCTCGTTTAGTCAATGCACGCCCGAACACCCCTTCACCCCCCTGGCAGGAAACAGGAGAGAGAAAAAGAAAAAGACCAGAAAAAGAAAGAAAAAGAAAAAGAACACTACGCCGCGACGTTGCGGCCACGGAGAAACAAAGCTGATCCATTTGCTCAGGTGTCGCTTCGATGCAGCTCTTTATGACAAAAGGACATTCAAAGGAACACTGTGCCGCGGCACTGCGGCCAAGGAGAAAAAGACGATCTTCCACTGTTTGACATATATGTATTTTCTGATCCGGTCTAGTTGCGCCGTGCTCGGCTTCTTGTGTGTGTCCACTCCTGTTTCCAAGGACACTACTCTAGCTATTTCTATTCCTATGACTTTACGATCCTTGTACAGCACCAGCAGGGGGTGCCAGGGACCATGCAAGTCTGGCACTAACAAAGACGCTTGCATTGGTCCGTGAAATCGATTTGGGACGCCAAATCGACGTACCTGCAATTGTCCAATTGTTTGAATCACTTCACTTTCCACGACTTGTTCCAACATTCTGTTCGACCGACCCAGCACTTTCTTTTCAGTCAAGGTCTAATTTGCAGTAACATTAAAGTGCTAATGCTCACCGCGAATAGCCTGAAGACAAGCTCCACGGAGCAACCTTCTCAAGTGTGCTCTTCATATCTCTTCATGATATTTCATGACATTGTTTTCTTCAAATCGGTTTTTGAGAGCCATTCTACAGCAAGAAACATGTTGAGCTACACATTTAAACAAAAAGAACAACATCCTCCGCCCCGGAGCACACGAGCGGAAACGGTGTAGCTGTTCACCAAGTCCTGGCAAGCTCGCTCCGTGCTATGAAGACCTTTGATGGACCCTTTTGTTTGTGCTTGTCAATGAGTCGAGGTCTAACTAAACGATACTTGGCCATAAGACCTCTCCCAAGCACTGGGCAAAGCCGCATTGGCATGCTGCAAGCTGTTTGCAAGGTACCAATTTGAACAGGATCGCCTGGAGCGAAAACACCTTCCAAAGATCCGGAAGATCGACTTCCCGCCTGATTGGGGACCATCCCATTAATGCCTTCGACATCGAGCAGCAAAGAGGAGACCTTGCAGGGATGAGAACCATCAACGCTAAGCATATCTAAGCATCAAAGACTGGGAGGGTCCTCAATCAACGCTAAGAGTCCCAGAACATTCGAGATTGCCGTAGGACCGTAGCGTCCATCGAAGCGGACTTTGCCACCAAAATGTCAATGTCGCTCATCACAAACATCTTTCGACATCGTTCTACTGCTTGGATCTGCTTGGTCCATGCTAGTCACCTCCAATCTCGTGTCTTCTCCAACCAATTACAGTAAAATAATTATGAAGTATTGCTAAGCCGGTGGCACCGTTCTTGATCTGCAGGACCACAGCCTGCGAAGTGAAGGGCCGCTCCGTCCCGTCCGTCCGCCGTTCGGCGTCCGCCACATCCCGTGCGGCCTGGCGGAGCACCCCGCGGCGGAGCTCCGAGATGCCGCCCAGGTAGGCACGGAGCCAAGCCTCTCTGGTCGGTTCTCGGACGGGCGAAGTCTCACGAGAGTCTCACCAGGTGGGAACGCTCTCACGAACGCCGAGAGTTGTCTTTTCGGTTTTGGCATCAGTAGCAGGTGGTCCTGGTCAGGCGGGGTTGGGCGCATGAATCTGAGGCGTCAGTCTGAGCGCTCGATGGAGATACTCAGTGATCATGTGAAGTTGCTGCACCCGTGCCGCACGATTGCAAACAAAAGGGGCGAAACCAAGTGATCAAGAAACATCAAGAACAGAGCAGTCAAAAGAGACCAGATTTTGGAGCCCAACGGGTGCAAACATGTTTCGTTAGTGATCCATTGATCAAGTACGATCAAAAAGGTTTTGACCCGCATGTGCTCAGTGGAAATTGGTGCACTTAACCGTGAACCGGAGCCTCCTTTCATCTCCATTTCTGTCACGTTTGCCATGCTTCTGGAAAAATGTTCATGATGAGATCTGATCTTAAAGAGCAAATCAATCACCATGTTCGGGTGTTGATTGATTCCTTCTCCTCATTGGGAATATTTGGGAATGCACATGATCAATCAAAAACAAATCATCATGTTGACAAACACAATATGAGAGGAACATGTGCAACATGTCCACAATGTTTTCGACTGTAATTTGCTAATTGCCGTGGGAAAATTGCTTGGTTTCAAGTAGACTCTAGACCATTATTGTCTAGTCAATCGTCATTCTTATGATTCATGGAAAAGGGTTGAACAATGTTGAACGAATGCCAAGTAAACATATATGTGCATGACTATGATTTCGTATCAAATTCCACTCAACCTCTGTCCTGTTCAAGTTCACTGTCCGGGCCCCCACCCGGGCGGATGCCCCATAGGCGAGGCCAGCATCCAGGAAGACCACGAAAACATCGCGGGAGAGCCAGTGAACCGTCCTGCATGGTCTCTGATGGGTCGTTTGGGGATGGCAAACAACCTAGGAGGGCTTGGTCGGTCGGTCAAAGAAGATGGAGGACGTTCCAAACAAAAACATAACATGTGCTGCAATGGATAAATACATATGATGATCATAATTGTAAATATGCAACTTTTTGGATGGTGGCAGTGGTGTGTCAAAATGTTTGTTCCCATAGGCGTCGCTAAATCGCAATTCCATGCGTGCCGCTTCATGCTTGCAGATAACACAAAACTGGTTTCCAAACATAGGTTTTAACTTTGCTTGTCAATTATTGTGCAACTCTCAGCAAAACAAGCTAGCTCCAACCCCTTTGTGGATTTAGCAGCTGTCCGTGTCACTAGAAGAGCTGCTGCTTGAGCTGCTGTCTTGCTTGCGCAAATTCCAGAGATGCAAAGCCTGACGCCTTTCGTGTCTTTATTTTTCGAACGATGTTTTTTGATATCTACTAGTAGCATCCAGTAGCTATGCATTACTGCAAATTGGCCTTCATCCTGATCATCCCCGGAAAACAAAAAACATACTGATCGTCTTCTGGTGCACCAACACGTCATCCGAAGGCTCGTGGCCGTGCTTTCAGCGCTTGAAAGAAAAGTGTGCCATCCTCAAGTAGCGTGCCAAAGTTACGCCAATGCCAACACCCCATGAGAATTTGGCCTCAGCGCTTCAACAGCGAGTCGAGCCATGCCGACCCGTGAGACTCATCCTGCGTGTGGATAGGAAAATTGATGCTGCCGGAGTTTGCTCTGTGTGTGGTTATCGATGTAACACTTGCTCACAAACCCGAAGTCAGAAGCAACACACAACCCCTCAGCTGTGCCCTTGCCCATCTAACTACTTGAAGTCGATATGTTGTTCCACCATTCCACCATCAGCTATGCCCGACACCGGCGCTTTCGTGGCCGACCAATTGGAAGCAATTGCCTCAGTGAAGTGGAAAAACACTTGCGTGATCTTGCGTACCTCACGCCACTAGAAAACACCTTGATGTGAGCATGTGAATGAGAACAGGCACCCAATAGTATGTTGTTATTGTTGTCATTGTTGCAGCAGCAGCTGCTGTTCAGAACTTCAGTGATTCATCCCAGGAGTTGCCGGTTGGGCCGAGTTTTCATCCACTCATCAAACCTCCAGCACACCATTGGCGTAATCAACAGTTGGGAGCCCCGGGCAAGGACCAGTGCCTCTCTGGAGTCTGCGCGTCGCGCTTCAGCCAACGTGTACCTCGCGGTGGCTGGTCCGTCGGACGGTCGCAGAGTTTGTTTGAATCCGTTAAGACCATGACTCATGACCTGGGAAGTCAGATGGTCTTTGATGGACTACTCCTTCAACTTCTGGCTTTTGGAATTGTCAGATGGTCTTTCATGAGAAACCTTGCTGATCTTGCTTGACGTCGCTCATGAATTTGCATGATCTGAGCATCTGTTGATTAGCAAGCAAGCGAACTCCTATCTAATGCATGCAAAGGACAACACGTGTGGACAGTGAACATGTCCACAAGTTGTCACTGCAATACTAGGTTTACAAGCTTATCATTCGCAATCTTTCTGGATGTTGTAGTAACATGTAGTAACTATGATAACTAATCGCTGAAAGAACCACAGAAATCCATTCCCACCGGACAGAACAGTTATACGTATTTGCCATGCTGATGTAAGAAACAACATCTGAAAATGACTGGACTTAGCCTGTTCTTGAGGATCTGTGCATGCCCAAATCTCAAGCGTCACAATCCCCTGTTGGCTGGCACGTCAAAGAGCGCGACCCCAAAGGTGTCGAGTAATTGATGTGGTAGGCCTCCAAGCCCGCCTTGCGAATCGTTCGCTGCAGCTCTGTTTCACACCCTCGGAAGCAGTTCTGTTGAACATGGTCTTTTCGAGGTGCTACAGTTAGTTTTGAGGCAAGCCAACCCCCCAGGCCAAGCATTGATGTGATTGACCATGATAAAGAATGGGCTAACGAGTCTTGGGATCAACTCACCGATGTGACTGAGTAGCTTCTTGACTTTGAGCTCTGTTTACCGGTGAAGATCTCTTCCATCAAACGAAAAGCAAAAGCGGAAAAGTTCCCAGGGCCTCGGGATTCTATCAAGGCCCTATTTCGAACCCATGACAGGACTACCTGTGCTTATCCCACAGGATTCTGACTCCCACGGGTGGCCTTTCTTAAGGACGTGTCGATGGCGGTTTGAAGATCCTTCTGGGCCTGACCGATTCTGGACGCCAAAAGAAGTGCTCGAAAGTGCCTTGCTGCTCAAAAGAACCCTACCGGGAACCAGGTAGGTCCTTTGGAATAAAGTTGAATGCCAAAGTTTCCGGAAACAGCTTTTCTTGAAGCTTCGGATTGCAAGATCTGAGGGTATCAAGCTCAAAGCAACATCTGGACAAGCTGCCTCGATCTCCTCGATACACTTTCGTAGCCTTCCCTGGGCATATGTTTTTTTTTTTTTAAACCCGTAATTAGTGCATTGGCCAAGCTGACGAAATACACGCAGGGCACAACATGTAATTCACCTTCAACATCTCGCCATTGGCCCAAATGAATCTGCTACTCCTGGAACTGATATCATTTTTTGAAGTCTGGATCTTCCAACCTAAAAGCGATGGCTCCAACCTAAGAGCGATCGCCTCCAACCTAGAAGTGATGGTCTTGCCCCAACAAAAATGGCATTGAAAGCTGCTCTGCTGGCTCTGCACCTGCCACTCACTGCCGAAGCCGCTGTCCGCATAGCCTGCGATCAGGCCGTGCTCCTGAGAGTTCGGCCGCTTTACTGTTTAGACGACCCCAAAAACTCAAAACCGCTCATTCTCACACATCACATAACTATATACAGTGTACACTCTGACTGTGTCTCACGCGCAGACGTAGTATACAGTGCGGGGGGTAGTCTACAGTTGTATACTATTTAAGCAAAACATGGATCAACTGGATTCTAGATTTACGATAACAGTCCATCCGCGGATATCCCTGCCCTCAACCGCTCTCCCTCCCAACCGTCCTCAATCTCTGTCCTGCAGGTGTCTTCATGGGGTCAAAGCTGCGGCTATTCTCAGGGTCAAAGAAACGCCATGAACTTGATGAGGACTCTCTCTTTCATCTCGAGACGAATTGGTTGGAAAAATTTGGAAGGTGTTTGACCCTTCACCTTTCTCTTAAGAACACAAAACACATATATCATATCCATGAACTTCGGTTATACAAATGTACAACTACGTTATAAAGTTATATGATTATATATGATTATATGATACGTTATGATACGTGCAGGCCGTCAAAAGCCCACACGGCCAGGGCCAAAAAGGTGATCCTTGGTGCGCACACTTGAGGGCCGTCATGCTCCATCGATCCCACACTTCGCTTCAGCTGTCGAAAGACTGAACTAGATCTGTCGAACGCGTCTTCCAACATGTTTCATTCGGAAGACGCGTTCGACAGCTGATAGTTATGAAGCAATAACCACAGAATGAAACATGAAACATCATGAAGACTGTCAGCTGTTTCTCGAACGCGTCTTCTTTTCGTCTTGTGACAGTCTAGTTCAGTCGAGTTCAGTCTGAGTAGTTCGTCAGCGACAGTAGTTCGACGAGACCAGCAGAACCGAAGTGGAAACTCCTCCGGTCGAAGCTGGGGAAGATCGCCAAGACGATCAAGGCGGCAATAAAGAGTGCACCAGTGATGAGTTGATGATGTCTCACCACCCTGGCAAGCAGTGGGGAGGGACGGGCAATGCTCGCATTCCTCGGGATCTGTTGCGTCTTGCGCAGCTCATCTTGCTGCGTGATTTAGTGGATTGCATTGCTAGTTCGTAGCTGAACTTATCGCATCATGATGTGATGGCAGGTGTACACTAGCAAGAGGCAAAGTGGAAGGGTATGGGTCAAATGGGTCAAATATTTCAATGGATCCATATGGATCCTTCCTGTCATGGCTTGTGTATGCGCTGAACTTGCACGTCTCGGGGCCATCTCTATCACGTCTGGATCTGTGGCCTCTGAGAGAGATCCAGCGCCAACGACATCACCAGCACGAGGTGAACAAATTGACTGTAACAGCTATCAATGCCTCCGACCAAACACCTTTGATAGCAGTCTCGGTGGGTCTTTAGACGGCTTTGGGACGGACAATCCGCCAATTCTCTTCAGCCTGCGAGGTCCTTACGCCTTGTCACAGCCTGTTGACGGCCAAACTCTCAACTTGATGCGCTGGTATGTTCTAGATGAATTCTAGATTCTACAATATTCTACATGCTTTTCCTCCTTTTCCTGGGAGTGCTGATTTGCTTAGCCAGCTCCTGAACGACAAGGGTCTGCGCAAACCGAAGTGAACTAACCAACATGTATCAACTGAAACGATGTGCAAACAATGTGCAAACACATCAGACACGACGTGAACCCATGAAACACATAACTTAATGGTTGACTTGGGAATTTCCAGCTACTTGCTGAACACTGACACCACCCATTCTTTTACGGGCTGGTCCCTCTTGTGTGCGGGGCACATTTTGTGCACCACTGCACTGCCCCTGGGCATGCTAACAGCCACGGATTGCAGTCAAAGCCACATCCTCCACTCAGGTACTTCTGTTGAGACTGTAAGACTATGTTGTACCTAGCTCCTACATGCTCCTACGCTAACTAGGCCACTCTCCCTCTCAGTCTGGAGAGTGCCATGTCTGGCCCCAATTTTTTCTAAATCTAACCTTTCGACTGTTGTAGAATGCCCAAGGGAAAACAAGCAGGTGCGCACACAACATCCTAACAAGCTCATGGTTGCGCTAGCTTCCTGTCTTCTCCACTGTCTTCATGTGTGCATTCTGGACATTGTAACACTGCAGGTTTGCGGGGAGGAGAGCGTTCCAAGCAGCCATGAGCGATGACCATATGCGTGAAACCACATTTAAACTTGAAGCAAGGCCTTCTGGATGGTTCTCCAAACGACCCGCAGTCGCAAGTCAGGTCTCAGCGTCCACTTCCCCAATATGATGATGAGCCTCATCAAAGCCAGCATCGCATGCGAGTTCAAGGAAATGAATGCCTTGTCGTGATGAGTCTTCATCAAAAGCACGTGCCTTGTCGTCTGGTAAGGGATTCTATCCTTTGGTATTTTTGGGGGAACCACCAAGAGGGGGAAGTAAAGAACGTGACAAATGTGGTTTTACCTACCTTTCGTTTGTTTTCTGAGAGTCCATGAGGTCAGTTTGATCTATCATACAGCTCCGCAAAAACAGCAACCCCAAGATCTTGCCTCGCACCCACAATTCAACAACACAAAATAAACACCACAAGACAATGCAAATTCCGGCACTATGGGTTGGCTCTTGGTGTAACATGTTCAAGGTCCTTTTCATGAAACATATATACGTCCAAGAATCTCATGCATATACAATAAGGTAGCATGGCATACAAATAACATACATTACATTACATACATACGATCACATAATATAACATAAAACTAATACAACTTACATTATATGTGTTCATTGTATAGTGCATTTAATTTATTTCATGCACATGCATATGTCTATGTATGTCTATGTGCATACGACTCCTTGACTGGTCTACTCACGCAGCCTGAAAGCTTTCCTTGTCCATCAAGGCCTGCGCGACTCGGCGACGAATGGCGATGAAACGGTGCTTCCAACGGCCGGTGACCAACGGCCACGCCCGGCCGGTACCCAAAGTATATCCTTTGATCGTTTCAAGGATGCGTTGGAATAATTAGTGAATGGTTGAAGGAGCAAAAGAAGGCTTTGCAAGGTATTGCACAAATAATGCTTCAGAAGACAGTGAAAAATGAGATAAAATGGTAGCTATGTTCAACTCATCATGTTCTCCAACCTCATGCCTGCCATTGTCATTTGGATTTGCACCAAAGAAAAGGGGCAGACTAGCCTGGCCTTTAGAGAGTCGGCGTCAACCACGCCAGGGTAGCTGGTCCTCACGCAGCGGAGTCAGAGAAAGAACTAAAGAGGGTGTTTCTCCGTGGATTGAGAGGTAGTTTATATGGATCCCCATCTAAAGGACATCATGGGGTCTGTGCCATCTACTCTGAAGCCACTGTAGTGTCAATTTCCAGGTATAATACAATTTTATACATATGAGGTCATATGAAACATATGACATTGTCAAATCCTATAAGATCCTGTAAGGGTACGTACTACTGACAAAAGAAAACCTGGTCGCTTATTGTTTGAGTTTGGCTCTGCAATGCGACATCGCAGTCTGTCGTCTGTCATACATGATGTAGATTGTTGTTTTGATGAGTCGTACATAGCGATGTCAGGCAAGCCATGTGAGCACACAAGAGGACATTGAAGAAAAAACAGTTTCAACTTTAAACGTTAAACATAACCTTGGGATCCTTGGGTCTCCTGGTGTGTAGTTACTTGCATCAAACAAAATGCACATTTTTTTGAAAATGAATGTCTTTCAATCTAAGCAGGTCCCGCTCTGCCAAATCATGAGTTGGATTGTCCATGAGTGCACTGTTTTTCCAATGGATTCCCAAAAGATAGAGTCTATCATGAAACAAATTATCATGATACTGACAAATTTCGCTGCGTAGAAACTACATATATATATATATCATTATTAACAAATTTCACGAGCTAAGGGGGCACCCCCGTTCCAGCCATACTTAAAAAATAACACTATGTGGAGGGTAAACCCCGTCAAGTGTGCTGGATGTTAGTGGTGAACGCCACCTTTTTTCATCTTCCGCCGACAGTGCTCAGTTAGTCATTTTTTGCCTTTTTTGCCACCACCGTGCTGCGCACCTCTTCCTCGATGCGCCGCTTCTTCAATGCTTCTGCGAGCAGAGCCTTCTCCCGGTTCTGCTGCACCTTTCTCTTCAGCGCCTCAAGGGAGTCCTTCTCGCCCAAGGTGTTTCCACCCTCCTCGACCGCGTCCTTGTCTGCCAAGGTCTTTCCACCATCCTCCACCGAGTCCTTGTTTGCCAAGCAGGGCCTCTGCCCTGTAGACTGCGTCGGAACCAGTCCAGCCTGATCTTCTCATTTCGAACTTCTCAGACTCAATTCGAGCGACATGGCAGGGCGAGTTGAAGACATTCACTGGACAGTTTGACCAGTTGAAGACACTATGTTCACTGGACCGTTTGACAGTTTGGACTCTGGAAAGACATTCGCTGGACAATTTGATCAGTTGAAGACATTATGTTCACTGGACCGTTTG